CTGCAAGTGTAGAACACCTATTTTCTTTTCCTATTTACCTGTAACGTAAAAATATCCTCTGCAACTTGTGTTCTTTGTTGTGAAGCTCTTTGTATAAATCATAATGTTTTCCCCACATTCCACCTCAATTGTAATTCCCCAAGAGAGATTTTTGCTTGTAACTTTCTGAGCTGTGTCACCTACTGTTATATTTGGTATACGAACAATATCCTTGTGCTTGATTTACAGACAAAAAGAAACTTTTTTCATTTGTAATTGTGCTTATTTGCTTTTCTATGAAATATTTTTAAGAAGGTTTTTGTTTATAGAATTTGACTACACACAAGGGCAAAGTTTAAAAAGATTTTTGAAAACTCCTCTATGCCAAATCATATTGTTCACAAGCTACGATAGAGTCCTGTCCAGGTTAAGAGGCAGGTCAAGGGTGAATCACTTCTTGACTTACCTTGGGAAATTATTATATTGCTATATGCCTGCATTTATATGAAAATTTACATTTTATGAAATGATTTATACTTGGCAAACTACATAAGTTATATCAAACTTCCCAGTCAGAATGGGTGTTGGGTGTATAGGGGATGCTATGTATCCTGTGTATCCTATGTATCCTGTATTTTTCTTATGTTCTTGTATGATGGACAGGACCATAGAGATTCTTCTGGTCAGTAAGATCTTTGACTGGAAATACAAATAATTAGACTAAAAATCTGACTTGCAAGATGTAGGAAGAAGGCATTGCCTTTTATTCATACTACTGCAGAGCAACACTGGACACTTGATGGTCACTTTGACAAGAAAAAGTGTCAGAAATTTCCACAGATATGTGCATTTATGAAAAGGTAACTCATAGAGCTGAAGCTGTTTTTCTATTTGCATGATAAAATAAAGACATTACAGAGAGTCCATTATAGTTCATTAAAATCATCTTCCTGTTAACACTAAGGGATTTTGGATTGTAAACCTTTGATTGTACTTGCTACAAACTGTAATGAGCTACTTAGTGCCTTTTGGAATAGTTTCCATAACAACTATATTTTTTTATGCCTTATATGAGGCCTGCACATATTATTCTAAATCACATTGTCACATTGTTCCTTAATCAACCACACAACTTTATCCTGCCGTTCCTTGTGTTCTACACAGGCTCAGTTTGCTGGTACTGCAATTTTAGCAGTGATGCATTATAGACTGAAGCTAAGATTAGGCAATATGTCTCTTCTTCACTTTAATGAGAGATGCTGGGCTCAAGTATAGAGTGAAATTATGAAAAGGCTCAGCTGTAGTCCAGCATGCCTGTTGTCCTCCCTGGGTGTCATTGTGTAGTGATGCACAGGTGACTGCTGCCTCAGGTGGTACCACCTTCACAGGAGGAAATCCAAGGCCAGAACTGACATCTGTCCATCAAGTATAGCATTAAGATAATTGAATCAATCACCCAGTGATGTAATGAAAGGGGATAGTTGACCCATCTCATAGTGTGAAAGTCATATTCACTTATGAACAGTTCTCCTTGGTGTACGGTAGTTGATGTGTGGCCTTTGTGAGTTAATGAAATGAAATAAACGAATGAATGTACAGATCAGTTATCTTGAACAATGGTTTCTGGGGTAAAATGAACTCATCATTGGAAATAACCTACCTGAGGCAGAAGTAAAGTTTTTTTTCTGACATATTCACAGAATTCTAGTTGGTTATTGAGGCTTGAATTACAGAACCAATGTCATTTTGTTTCTATCCTGCTACTTAGATTTTTAGGTAACCTTTGGCCACTGTTTTGTGCATTGAATTACGAAAGTTTTTTGGAAATCATTGGCAAAGTTGAAACATCAACCAGCAGGAAAAAAGCCCACTCACAAGTACTCTGTCCCTTACAGTGAAAGACCTTGTGGAAAAGATTATTTTGCTTTTAAAACTTTTCTGTTATTATCTTTGACCAGTTTATATGCAGGTAGTTGAAATCCCCTATTATGGTTGACTCGTTATGCTTTGTTACCTCTCTCTTTTTACTAGAATAGTGTACATTCAATAACTTTTTTCTGATCATTTCAGGAAAACTGACCACTGCAACTTGCATGTGTAGTATTTCAGAGGTAGCTACGATAACGCTTATACAAATACACCATGTCTCCAAGAACGTGTACGAAAGGACATGTCTTTGAAGGCATAGCGTGCCTATGCAATGTTCCCTCATTTGTTGTCCTTATGCAGTTGTGCTGTTGTTCTTGTTTGCCCACAAAACCGCAAAAGTGTCCTTTGGTTTGGCCCTTTGGTGAATTTCTTGTGAATGTTCACAAAGTTGCCCCATATCTGCCTCATTGAAATTTTCCTTTTGTTGTGCATTTGAAAATCTTGATGTTCTTTGCCATCTAATGTTGGCATCACTTGTTAGCCCACTCCTCACACCTGTCTTCTTGGAACCATGTTGATCATTTTGTTGATCTTAAGGAGATGGAGGTACTTCATCAAGCACCTGGCTTGAAACTTCTTACCATAGGCAGAGATTGTTAAGTCCTTTTGAGCTCTGTTGTATTAAACTCCAGACTTTTCAATATGTGGCATGACAATATGGATAATAGCAAAGTCTCTTTCTACATTCATGTATGTATATGTACAGTTGATATACTTAAATATCTCAAAAAGGGGTTCCTTTTGCCTAACTGTGCTCCACTAAAAGTTAGTTGTCTTACATACATCCTCAAAATTAGCAGTGACAAAGACCTGAGAGCAGTCTGTCATATCTATTTTAGACATAGATCTTTGAATGATATCAGTTACTTTCAGGAGATACGTCTCTCATTCCTTTGACATTATAAAGAACTTAGACTGGCATAGAATTAGCGTATAAGTTTTTGGATAGCTCAAGTTATGCAAGATTAATCCCCTCCTTGCTCTAGAAACTGTATTGATGCAGTTTGGGAAGCTGGCTGAGAGGTCCTTGAAAATATGTGCCAAATGTCTTTTCATAGGAACGATGTAAAGCCTATGACAATCCCAAAGATTAATTGCTACTATAAATAAGCCATCTGGGAAATGCATCAATTGATTCTTATGTCCATTTCTTCTTAATGTGATTCTAAAGGGCCAAGGCATATTACTTGCCACAGAGGCTGCTTTTACTTTCAGCCTTGAATACTGGCCACGGACAGTTGAGGATTACAAAACCCATGCACATGGCACCAGCATACCCATAGATAGAGTCAGAGTCAGACCTCCATTGTTGTAAAGAAACAGAATGCTATGGAAACAAAGTTCACCCCATCTTGCGGATTTGCCTCCTCGTTATTTCTTAACTAGTCTCATTCTGGCAAAATACTCTGTTTCTCAGTTCTGTCAAATGACTTTAACTTTGGACTTCATGTGAGCTCTAACAGGTTAGACCTCTAAATGGTCATCACCCATAAGCAGGAGATTTCTCCTGTGCCATTACTATAGTGCATGGCTTTCTAGATACATGCGCAATTTCATAAACAGATTTTAGCCTCACAGAAAAAACAGTTAAATGCCACAGACATTCCTCATAAAACTCGTGGTATATATTTCTTGGCAATCACCATGCATTTCTTCTTGTGAAATAAAATTTGTGAGACTATTAAACTTAGGGAGAAAATAATAGCATTTGGAGGAACTCTCTATGCCTTAAAAGAACCTAATGTGCGTTCTGGTGTTAGTGCTCAGGGCCCCTTTCATTCTCACTCTGAACACAACAACGTCATCTCTCTTAATAAAAATTACCCCATTATTTATGCAACCTTGAATCTATAGGCAGAGCCTTACTGCGAAAAGTGGTGGATTTGCAGTTAGCTGAGCTAGTTAGCAGTTCTGTACTCCCACTTGCAGAGGGCAGCTCAGGCAGGTGGCACAATCAGCAGCTGAAAACAAAAGTACTTTCCTCATGTATTTTCTTCTGTCCTTTGGATCCAATACCTCTATAAATGGAATGGATTCTCTACTATGTTCCTTATTCGGAAATACATACTTTTGGCTTGTGAAGCTTCTTCAAGAGCATCAATATTCTTGTTTCCGTCTTTAAAATATACATGCACTTCAGTTATAAACAGTGCTTAGAGCAATGCCCATCAGATTAGTCTTCCTATACATGCTGATGCTTACACTTCAGACTTCTCGAGGTTTATGTTTATTGCAGATCTGATATTTATTCTTGCATTTTACATGTCTCTGTGATAATTTGTACAAAAACCCTGTTGGTTTCGTTTGGTGTTTGGTGGGGTGTTTTTTTGTTTGTTTGTTTGTTCTTTTGAAGGCTTATCAAAGCTTTGTTCACAGAGTTTATTAGGACAACCATTGTGCAGTAGGAGTTAAATTCATTAATTTTATTAATCTGTTTTTCTGCTATCAGATGCCTGAATGTGGCTCCAGTTGAGCACCAACAGTAAAATTATGGAAGACATTCTGTAGCCAGGAAAATGAATATTACTCATGAATTAGCCAGTAGATAGGCTTTGTTCACAGAGTTTATTAGGACAACCATTGTGCAGTAGGAGTTAACTTAAATTCGTTAATTTTATTAATCTGTTTTTCTGCTATCAGATGTCTGAATGTGGCTCCAGTTGAGCACCAACAGTAAAATTATGGAAGACATTCTGTAGCCAGGAAAATGAATATTACTCATGAATTAGCCAGTAGATAGGAATGGCTTTGCAATCCAGACAAGCGTTTCCCCAGAATGGTATCTTTTTCTCTAGCTTGGCTTCCTTTTTGGTCTTAAAAGAGTCTTCATGGCACTTTAGTGAAGAGGAAGAAAAATGTAGGAGCTGTTACATTTTGACTCTGAAAGTTTCAGGTAGAAGTAAGTTTCAGACAGAATTCAGTTGCTAGAAAAATACACATTTGGAGAGCAGCTGAGGTACTACGGAAGACTTGGGGAGACTTTTAACAAGGGGATTCAATCCGGTGGTATTTTTATGCATATTCTAGTTTGGTGGCTATTTTTTTCATGCATGCCATTTTTTAACTCACTGTTTTCTCTTTTTCTCTGCAAGTTGAGTATTGCCGTGTGCATTGGATTTTTTGCTGCCTGGAGCCCTTACGCCATCATTGCCATGTGGGCAGCTTTTGGATCAATAGATAAGATTCCTCCATTAGCCTTTGCTGTGCCAGCTGTCTTTGCAAAGTCCTCCACACTCTACAATCCAGTTATCTATCTCCTCCTGAAGCCAAATTTCCGAAACACCATCGCCAAAGATTTCACAGTTCTTCAAGAGTTATGCATCAGGAATTGTTTTCGTGTCAAGGCACTGCAGAACTACAGATCAACTTTGAACACAAGCCTGAGAACATTTAAGGGCAAAAATGAATCCAACTGTAATTCTCTGCCAATTGTGGAAGAATGTCCTTATTTCCCGCGTGAAAAGCACAGTGATGCTTTTGAATGCTTTCAAAACTATCCAAAATGCTGCCAGGAGAGGCTAAGCGCTATGGAATGCCCTCCTCAAGAAACTGTGTCCTTGGAGAGCAACCTCCAAACAAAAGTGAGACAGAAGTCAGTAAAGGTGGTTGTGCAGGGAGAAAAAAGCACTGAAATCGATACCTTGGAAATCACCTTGGAAGCAGTACCTGTGCATCATGCATTTACAGACCTCTAGGGCTGCTTGCATGAAGCCCTCTGACAGTACTGTTGTTTTACTGGATTCATGAATGTAACTTTTTCTAAAGAGTCCTTCTACTACTCCATTTTCTAGACTATTTTCCTGTTTTTTTTCTCATACTCTTTGATGTGGCATATGCTACAGCATGGATATGCTATAAATGCTGTATGACTCTTGCCATGCCAATTTAAGTACATTGTGTTAACTTCGTTCACATCACGAACTATGTCAGGCAAATTGTCTCTGCATTTAGCGACATCCTTTTACTCTGTTTTCAAGAGATTGCACTAACCACTGAGAGGTTTTCCATGAAGCGTTATTACCCTTTCTAGACTATGTACATTTTATATTATGTCTGTTCAAAAGAAATAACTCAGTGTAGAGTTTTAAAAAGATGAGCTCATGTTGGTTTAATTGTTATAGCAACTGAAAAGGTAAATGCTAACTGAAATGCCTGTTTTACAAGAAGTGATGCTGAATGACCACATATGTTGCATTTGCTGGGAAGTATGCGTGATTTTGTTTCTTGCTTTGAGATGAACAGGCAGGTTCTGACCTCCTTCCACATGAATGAAATCAAAATATTTCTGGTAATTCAAGGTAGTAGGTAACTTTTGTTTACCTTTTGGTGTAATTTTAGAACTTGCCCTAGGACATTATTTATTATTCCCAGTTTCCTGTATAGGACCTTGGAACTAGGAGGGTGAAGACCTGGCCCAGAAATACCATAAGGGCCAAGAATCTCTGCTGGTGTAAACCACTGAAACCTGTGAAAACTACCCCACGTGAAAATCCTGATCCTCTAGGAATTCTTGAATTTGACTTCTTACAAGGACGATGCTGTAGAGTAAGAACAGGCACAGTTCTTGTTTCCCTTGTTCTTGTGTTGGAGAAGGGACTTTAGAAATTGTTGATTGTATTGGTTAGGGAGGATTTGGTTGAACTGCTGCTCTGTTTCACGGCTTGCCAGCAAGAAACACCATATCCTCTGCTGCTGCCGTGAGAACAAGGGCATGCTGGAAGTGCCAGGCTCTTATTTTGGCCAGCCTACAGCCAAAATTACCATAGCTTTGTTATTAAAAGTGATTATAGATTTGTTTTCCATCTGGGATTACTCTGGGCAATAAGGCAGTACTCCCTGCCAAGGACTTTGCCATCTGCAGAGCCAGTTCATTCTCTGCTCCCCAGGAGGCACTACCGAAGCCTCAGGGGAATACCTGGATTTTTATAATGATAATGATTCATCAGCAATGCATTTTGCTGCTGTTTCTGTGGTCACTTGAAGAAAATGTACCTTATTACAATAGGAACAGCCATGTTAAACTATGAAAGTCTCCAACTAGCCACTTTAAGGGATTTTTGGTTGCTATAGAATGCATTTGGAATATTTACTTGGGACACAGAGTTTTCTGTCCTGTTTTTAAACTGCCCTCACCCCCCAACTGCCCGACCCAAGCCTCCTTTTATCCTCAATGTTTTTGTATATGACCAATCATTAAGATTTTTTTTTATTAGATTTCCATATGCATGGGAACATGATGCATATATGCTTAAAATACATGACCTAAGGAAGAGTACAAAACATTTACAGAACATTACAGAAAAGAAACTCTCTCCAAGGTAAAAAATACTGGTTTTTTTCAGGAACTCCAAAAAAGCAATCAGAAAAGGCATCTGGACTTTGAATGGTCAGAAAGTCCTTTCGGTGTGTGTTTTTTCCACGACTTCCCAAGACACACGGATCAGCAGCACAGCACAAACAGGAACCTAGGTCTGCAGGGCTGCAATTACTGCACTGCTGTCTCTGACTTCAGATGAGGTGGGATCAGGCTTTGAGGGCCCTTAGGCAATGCTGACCTTTTCAGATGGTGAATCAGTGAAAAATAGGAGTAGAAGCTGTGTTCAGAGGTCATCTGGTCTTTCCCGCTCAAAGTCCCATTGACGTCAATACACAAAGCTGAGTATGTGAATAAATCTCTGGAGGACTCACTGACAAAGGCGTACATTTGGGGGTTTTAACTGGCAGAGCCTAAAAACGTCACGCTATCAAAAGACAAAAAATTATAATCTGCATTGTGTGGAGGGGCTGCGTGTCCACCTTCCATACAGATGTTTGGAATCCCAGCCGTAACATGCAGCTCTTTAAAATGATCAGAAAAATGTTGGGTGTTTTTGTGCTGTGACTGCTCTTTGAGCTGTGCTGCTTGTTAGCTACATGGTGAGATAGTATTATGAGCTCTTAATCTAACCCCCAAATAGCATTTTTTTAGGAGATCTACATAGGTTTGTGAAGAAAGTAAGAAAGTTTGGAGTCTCCATGCCTGGATTTATAGTCACTTTCAATTTAGCATTCTCTACAGTGGAAGCCGAGGATGACTTGCACTAGATGCTACTTTTTTTTAGTGGAAACTATGTGAACATATATTTCCATAATGTCATTTTGTTAATGTGAAAAACCCGCTGTATCTTTTTAGTTTCCTTCAAATTGTCCTGGCTGTCAGCTCTGAGTATAGAATAAAACATTTACGTAGAAGGTGACATTCAACTTTGAGTAGAAAATGTAATGTTTTAAAAATGACTGTAGAATCCATGCCAGCTCCTTTTATAAATTAATGGCAGGAACATTGTGCCTTTGCAGAGAATTCCCCATATATTAGACATTAAGAATGACAGTGCACTCAGACTGTGTTCCCACTATGTGGTGGGGAAAGTTTTCCTTCTTGTGCGGGTAGCTTTTTCTGTAGCAAGCACAATTTCCAAACAACTTTTCAAACCTGCCAGTTCTGGGATTTTTCCCATCTACTGTTCATTAGGGTTAGTCATAAGTTACTGCTCATAAGTGTATGCCTAAATAAAATGCCATCGATTGCAGGGGGTCTTTATTATTATGCATTAAGTTCTGATGAAAGAGTCAGAGGATTGTTGGAATTTAAAAAAATATTTAAAAAAAAATATTTGTTTTTAAAGATAAAACAATAAAAGTTATTCTCACCTGACAAATGAACTTATCATTTTTGTTGCTAACAATGTACGTAAGTACACTGAATACAACATTTATGGTGTCAGTGGCAGAAATGGTAAAGCAAGCCAGTGAGGTTGCTAGTGTAGCATCGCATGGACGACGTAGTGGGCCCTGCCTGCCTGCTCTGCTTTTGAAGGGGAAACTGTTTTTCTGAAACTGAGTTGCTCAGAAAGGCCACTGATCTAAGCCTGCTCCTGACCAGAAGGGTTCAAAAGTCATTCCCACCTGGTGGGAGGGTTGGTGATGCAGATAGGCACAGATCTGGAGTGAGGTGTGTGTTGGTCTCTTCTCCCAATCAACTAGTGAAAGGATGAGAGAAAATGGCCTCAAGTTGCATCAGGGGAGGTTTAGATTGGATGTTAGGAAAAATTTCTTCACCGAAAGAGTGGTGAAGCATTGGAACAGGCTGCCCAGAGAGGTGGTGGAGTCACCGTCCCTGGATGTGTTCAAAAAAATGTGTAGACGTGGCACTTCAGGACATGGTTTAGTAGGCATGGTGGTGGTGGGTTGACGGTTGGACTTTGAGGTTCTTAGAGGTCTTTTCCAATCTTAATGATTTTATGATTGATTCTAGATGACTTCATTGCACACACAAAGCTTAGCAAAGACCTAGTACTGAAAGTGTGCAAAGAAAATCCCTCTCTGCTTGGGCTGGAGGGCTGAAGGGGCTCGGCTGGCTGAGCTGAGGAGAGCAGGGCAGAGCTGGTGGCTCTGGGCTGGGGACAGTCAATCCTTGGGCTGGAACAGCAGGAACTGGAAGTGTGTGTGCCTGCGCTCCACGATCACAGCACCCTCACTCCCCCTCTCTATTTACCTCTTACATTCATTTATGGCTTTGTCTTACAGAGAATGGTAAGTTTTGGGGTGGGAAATGCTTTCCTCTGTGCATGCAAAGGATTTCAAACCAGGTGGGAGACACCAAGTCTTTCGCACTGCCACAGGAGGGCTGAGGAGCTTGCATGGAGGTAGTGTGGAGAGGCTTGTGCTGCTCTTGGCTTTGCTCTGTATCCACTGTGGACAGGCAATGTGTGCTATAGGCAGTGGATACAACATATCTGGGGAGCATTATGCTTGCTGTTTAAGCCATTTCATGTGCTGGGCAGTGATGTCCTTGCAGTGGAAGAAGAGTCTGTCAGAGGTTGTAGAAAGCAAGTGAACTAGCTGGCTACGTCCCATCTCAGCCAGAAGAGCTGGAAATAGTTCTTCATAACTTTTCTGTCACCTTCTTGCTCCTCCTGTGGCACTTTTCTTCCCTTACACTGTGTCCTTTCCTGCTGCGCGCTCTCATTCCTCTCTGCTCCACTCTCTGCCTTCTCTCAGATTCCTGTTTCTTTTCCCGATCTTTGCCTCCCCACTCCCTGGCACTCAGAGCACCCCCGGGGAGCTACGCAGCAGGCACCTGGCACCCTTATTACAACCAACAGAGCAGTAAAAAGCTGTGAACTGCCCAGCTTCTGTGTGCAATGTCAAACCTTTGTAATCGATATTTTTTGCTTTTCCAATCATTATGACATTGAGCTGTTCTGTGGAGGCCAGAAGCATATGCTGTATGTTTTTGGGTTGTTTTTTTTCTTTTTCTTGTTGACTCTCTGGCTTTATTTTAGCAAGGTACCATGAAAGCTCTTCTCTAGCACACCTGCCAAGATAATGGGGTTACAATGGGGTTGGAAGGGAGACTGGAAAATCCCCATTATTTTTTCCCCTTTAGATAAAATACTATCTATAGGGAGAAGTGGTCAAGGCATTACTGCAGTACATGCTTCTCATGCTGTGGTCCCTCTGTAAGAGAAATACACCTTTTCCTAGAGATGGGCTTTTAAGAGAGAGCTCAGTGATGTTCCTCCTGTCACATCATGGGTAAAGACATCTGGAAAGAAAAGTCAAGAAGAGTGGGTCTTTGGATAGAAAAGCTATGATTGTCATGCTACAAGTTTTGGGCCTTTAGGAAGACTAGAAATAGACTCATTGCATACAA